CTATCATGCAGGCTTACATGTCATCTATCTGAAGAAAGTTCTGTTAAATAAGATAATTACCAAGCACTACAAGAACTATAGCAACCTTAGAAAGCTCCTCACTAAAATATTCTATAAATCCAACAAAACAATGATAAAAAGTGTAAGTATTATGGAAGCGATTTACATCCTACAAAAGCAACCATAAATTAAGAAAATTATCCCCAATATAGAATTCTTTAATGCATATTTCCACAAAGTCCAATTCATTGCTTGTGATCATACCTTAAATGTTGTCTATATAAATTTACTGCAATTCGATTTATGGCGATACTTTTTAAAACTACGTTTGATTTCCTTTGTGGAATCTTCCACAACAAGCCAGTTAACCCCTGCTAGGAAATTCACTATTCCTGTTGTAATTTTCACCATCACAATCTTACAAAATATATAACAAGCATTCATTGGTTAATCTACTCAAAACTAGCTCGCTGATTGATCAGTTCCGATCAATCAGATATCCTGCACGCGAGGAATTAAATTTCACGCGTTTTTGTCTGGAGCCTCCCACGTGGTACAACAAAATTATAAAAGCAGAACACTTTTAACCTTCTTTTGTGTTTCTTTTCATTCATCTCTCTCGTGTCTCATTCCTTGCTGCCAAGATGTAATCTTCAAGAACTCCCGTCTTGACTAATGTAGTCCGACGTTAAAGACCATTACCAACATTCACGCAAGTACGAACTCTCTTCTGAACTTTTACTTTTTACTTTTCACGAAGTATGAAATCTCTTCTGAACTTTTACCATCTTGTACAATACACAATTCCAAACATGCTAAAGGAACTTTATTCTTCTAAACTACAGTTTAAAAATTACTTTCATTTTATGAGCTCGAATACAAATATTTCCAAATCTAAGAGACATAACTCTATCACACCTTCAACTCTCATGCTTGTACATCAAATACTTAATAAATTCAATTGTTACGTTTTGAAACAATATGTTTATGAATCATTATTCTATGTCTTGTATTAATTGTTGTGGATGGAAGATTATTGAACACACACAATTTTAAGTCTTCACATCATTCAAACCTTCTATTCCCCTCCAACACACATTACACATCCGCAACAATTTTCCTTCTCTTCAATAACTTTCCTCGCTCACCGAAATGACTCATATGAGTCGAAAACTTAGACCAAGACTTGGTTTCGGATATTTGATTTTGTAGCCGTTGTGGTATTGTGTGAAACTACCTTTGGCATATACTTTTCTATGTTCAGTTTCTTTTTCTCCTATACTAAATTCATTTCAACTGATCCATACTCCGAGGTATTTGAAGTGTTCGGTATTTACTAGTTCCACAGAGTGACAGAACTAATTTCAACTGGGAATTAATTTCACCTCGGAACTACTTTCAACTCGGAAATAATTTCAACTCAATTTAAAAACCCTAACCCTTAATGCCGAGTTGAAATTTGTTCCGAGTTGAAATTAATTCTGCACCCTATTCCACATCCGAAATTTTTATGATGGATTCAGGTTATGTCGTGACATCACTGCTTTCAATCCAACTCCAGATCAAAGTTTCTATTTCGGAAAGGCGTTTCTGGAGTCCTTACTTCTTGGAAAACTTGACTGAGGAAGTTGATTTTTTTTTCCAAGATCATTCTTATCCCAACATTGTCACTTCGAGGTCTCTTCGTAATTGATCTAGCGAGGCAAGTTTGCCTCGCTACATCAATTACGACTGAGTAATTAGATCGATCCTCACTAGGTGCCACATACATTTGGCCTTTTGCCACATCTAAGCTACGCTTAGAAAATCATTTAGGTAACTCGACTTGGTTTAATGGTTTGTAAGCTTGTCTCACTAGATCTAATACGACTGAATAGTGAGTTCAATTCTCACTTTTTGCCACATAGTTTTGCTCTTGTGACACATCTAAGCTACCCTGAGAAAATTACCTTCTTTATCGCAACTATGAATATCTATGTGATCACCTCCACAACTCATTGTCTGTACATTGGCATCTGTGGGTAAAGCAGGATCGTTGTCCTCTATTGATACATTCATTTGGGATGAGGTATGGAATGCCCATCTTTTCGTACCTGCGCTTGTAAATGAGCAGGGCATAGTCCAGGTAAGTATTAAATTAGACTGGATTTCTCATTTCGTCTTTGCCGGACACGTAATGAGCCTTGAACTGTTTTCGTATTGGGGTGTCCACGCCAAAATTGCAGCCTGTTCGGTATTCAATTTCCTTCTCTCTTCTACTAAATTCCTTGTAACTGATCCATACACCCAGATACGTGAAGTGTTTAGTATTTACTAATTTCATATCCTAAAAATTTAAGTAGATAATATACTTTTTATAGCATCATTTAGTTCTTTTATATACTATATCCTTTCAAAGTGGACGGATAATTGCAAATGCGTACCTGGATAATTGCGTACCTCTCGTAATTTTTTGAAGTTACCATTTTTTCTAAAGTCTTGTTTAGTATAGAAATTTGCACACAAATACTTTTAATTACTCTAAACAAGAAGAAAGGTATTTACCATGAATAAAACAGAGAAAAATTTATTTTTTAAAGCAAGAGAAAATTAAGCTAACAGTTTCAGTTCACTCCACCAGTGCGTACAACAAACATCTAATAGATTCTGGATTTTATTAATCATATTTTTATTTGGAACCCATAAATAAGTTCCGAAAATCAAAAACTGGAAAAATATTTGTGGACGAAGAAAATAATAGCGAAAACTATCGTAAGAAGGACGCCGATGAAACAAAAACAGTATGGCAATGTGAAGAGCGATCTTACAACACTCTTAATCTGTCATTGCATTTTAAACAAAAATAAACTTTTCATTTTTTTCAAAATTTCTTTTCTAAAGATTCATGATTACTACCTATACTTTTTCTTTTCAAAATTTATGATAACTGCCTTTAAATGCTTCAAAAAATTATCAGAGGTACGCAGTTATCCAGTGACGCATTTGTCTAAGGCAGTGGTTTTCAACCATTTGCTGGAGCGGAACCACAAGGAAACCTTCCAGTGGCTCGAAGAACCCCTGCAATTAATTGTCTTATGCAAAAAAAGCTTTCAATTATTAAAATAAAATAAAAATACTCATCTTCAGATTTATTTACAAAAAAAAAAAAACAAAGACAAACTGTAAAAATATTGTAGACGTCCATATGCAATTTTAATCTTGCTTCTACGGTTATTACACATGTATTAAAAACTTCAGTTTAAATGGATTACATTTATTTTCATTAAAAATTCAATGAGAAACTTGCGCCTGATGATTCTTACACAAATCTTTAATATTGGGTCGTGTTTTTGACAGACACACACGAAGTTCATCTTTTACAGACAGCAATTATGCTCGCTTCTTGCGGTTGATGGTTTACAGAGCTGAAAATCCAAATTCACACAAGTAGGATGTTGGAAACTGCATCAGAAGGCGCGGTGCTTTCTGGGTAATTGCAGGCTATTCCTTTTTTAACCAGCAACCAGAATGCATCCAGGCTAAGCTCAAAATGCTTCAATTTTGATGTTCTGTCACTTGAAACACTGGCAAGTTTTTTTTTCTTCTGTTAATGTAAACTGTTCTTTAGATGGCTCAAATTCCACAAATGGGCTTCTAACCCAGTCATACTGGTCGACAGATATCGATGGAAAATACTTATCAAGATTTATTAACAAAGTGTCCAAACACACGTGTAACTTGTTGCGGAATCCCTGGGCTTTACTGGCGGAATGCTAGGGTTCCGCGGTACCCTGGTTGAATACCGCTGGTGTAAGGACACAAATGTCCAGGGACGCAATTGTCTGATACGCAATTGTTCAGAGGGCAAATATCCTACAACTGTCCTTTCAGTATATCGATGATCATGGTTCTCCACAATTTCCTCTCTTTTAACTAAAATGTGTCTCTTTTGTCTCAGCTCTACCATCCAATCACTCATTAAGTAGATTACTGTGTCACACACTTCAATATGCCCTCTGTGTGCTATATGCTCTCGGCTTCTTTGCTCTTCTTGCGTCCAAGAAAATGCAACTTCCCTTTCTGATTGCAAATAACAGTATTCGTTTAGACCATATTTCATTTAAAACTCCCGTCCTGGGTAAGACGATAAACTACATCCGTGCCCTGGGTATGACGATAAACTACATCCGCGTCCTGGGTAAAACGATAAACTACGTCCGCGTCCTGGGTAAAACGATAAACTAAACCCGCGTCCTGGGTATGACGATAAACTACATCAGCGTCCCGGGTATGACGATAAACTACATCCGCGTCCCGAGTATGACGATAAACTACATCAGCGTCACGGGTATGACGATAAACTACACCCGCGTCCCGGGTATGACGATAAACTACATCAGCGTCCCGGGTATGACGATAAACTACATCCGCGTCCTGGGTATGACGATAAACTACATCTAAAAGCAAGGCTTCTGATCAAGAGGTTTTGAGGAGTGTGGAACCACTTTTTCATTGCGGTTGTTCCCAGGTCCCATCTGACTCGAGGTGGTCCCAGTTATGGGTAAATATTTAACCTCCAAACTGGGATGAAAAAAAACTATGAAAGTGTAAACATAGATTTTAATACCAGCAATAAATTTTTGCAAAAATATAAATGCCAGTTACCATATTCTATCTTCCTGTTATTTTATTGTCTTTTGTCCTCACTAAAATCTTCTCATTCTCTTTCACTCTCAGTAACGCCTTGCTTCTTAGTGGAATTAGCGCCATCTTCTGTCTTCCTGAACAATATTCCTTTATTGTCCTTTCTCTTCATTAAAGTTTTCTCATTCTCTTTCACTCCCAGTAACCCCTTTGTTCTTAGTGACATTATCACCATCTTTTTTCTTCTTGAAACCTGTTCTTTTATTGTTCTCTCTCCTCACTAAATTCTTCTCATTATCTTTCATTCCCAGTAACCGTTTGCCTTTTAATATTATTATTGACTTCCTTTGGGTGTAATGATTAAAAACCATTCCAGTTCCCGAATATAAAATACTTTAAATTAATTTCATAAAAGTTCATATTGCAGTCCAGGTTGCTATAGAGGTTGATATATCGGTAAACAAAATCAACCAACCAATATATATATATATATATATATATATATATATATATATATATATATATATATATATATATATATATATATATATATATATATCGCACTCTCTATTCCATTTGAAGGCACTGGAGTCTCTATATATTCGGTCTAGGGAGCCATCTTTGTGTAAGCAAAAAGACTGTCTCCTTGGACTTCATATCATTATCCTCTAGTGTGCTTCAAATTTTCCCCTCACACTCTGTTATATACACATATATAATTATTTTATTAGAATTTTTTTTTTTTTTTTTTCCTTCTCTTGTTTATTGTGTATTTTTGCACAGTTTAAAAAACATAAAAGAAGGGAAAAAGAAGGAAAGAAGGAAAGTATATATATGTGTATAAGTTAAAAAGATAAAAGAAAGAAAAAAAAAAAAAAAAAAAAAAAGGGGGAAAAATTATTTGTTCTTTTATTCCTTGTCCCCCCTCCATACCATTGATCTTTCATTTTAGTTTTAATTGTATGTAGGTTGTATGTGTGACTTATTTATTCTGTAAGATTGAGAAATAGTTCCCAGTTGACCCTGATGAGCTTGGGAACGAAACCGGTTGGTCTGTTTGTTTGTGAGAGTTATCATCTCTTATTTCTTATATTATTTTCATAATGCCGTTAAGAAACAACCCATATTACTTTTTCCTTGCGATATTACGATTTTGCACCTCAAATAATTTATTTAAATATTTCAAACGGAGGTATCATAGAGACATTATCAAAAAACTTGATAAAATTCTTCTTATCAAGGCAAGACTGAGAATTTTGATAAGTAATTATAAATTTCTTCAGACCTGTATTGAAAATCATGTGTGTCCCTCCTCTTTTTTATTTAGAATTAGGAGTGCGAAACTGAATCCAGGCTTAAAAATTGAAGAGATTTTTATGAGGGACTCTATTCAACTCTATACAAATAGAATCCATCAACTTACCCGTGATCTCACTGTCCTTTATAGAGAAAGTGTAACCAACCTTTCATTTTTCGATAGAATTAGGTTCTATCGTTATGTGGGATTTATTCAAACAAAATCCTCAAGAAAATTATTGAATGACCGACAATCTAAGTTGCAGCATTTAATCAGTAAACGCTTTGGGCATATTACTGAACCAATTTCTGGAGTTATTACTAACCTTTCAACATACGAGCTTTCTGAGCTAGAATCTGGTTTACTTTCGAACGGCTTAGACCATTGTATACCATTTAAGATTCCTGATAAAGAAAAAATTTATTCTGAATTTGAAGTGCTATCTGCGCAGCTGTGTAGACTGGTTCCTCAATCTACTGACCTGCTTTCTAATTTAAAGGCTACCCTTAACAGTTCTGCGCATACTTATGCGTTAACTCCGGTAGCCCTTTCTGAGTCCAAGTGGAGTCAGCAGCACCGTTCTGTAGTCAGGAATTTACTGGCGAATAATAACTTGGTAATTACTCGTCCAGATAAGGGGGCTGGTGTCGTTCTACTGGATCACTCTGAGTATGTCTCTAAAATGCAAAACATTATTAGTGACACTACTAAATTTCTTCCTCTTGGTCCAGTAGAGACACATGATCGTACTGTTCCTTTAGAAATTGAGTTTCAGAAGAAACTTCTATCTTGGGCCAAACGTGGGTTAATACCTCGTGAAATCATGGATGATATTAGACCTGTTGGGTCTATTCGTCCCCGCCTATATGGCCTTCCCAAAATTCATAAGGAAAATGTACCCCTCAGACCTATTTTGTCCATGACTGGATCATCTCAACATAAGGTTGCAAGTTTTCTATCAAACCTTCTCCAACCGGTTGTTGATTACTTTAGTACGTATATCATTAAAGATTCTTTTCTTTGCTCAGATTATTCGTGAAACCCCATCTAAAAAATAAATTTATGTGCTCGTTTGATGTATGCTCACTGTTTACTTGTGTTCCCGTGTTGGAAACGATTGATATTTGCTGCAACATGCTGTATCGAAGTAATTTGTCACCTCCGGATATCCCCGAAATGGTTTTTATTGAGATGATGAAATTTGCTACCATGTCTGTAGAGTTTAGTTTCAACAATATCATGTACAGAGAGATAGACGGGGTAGCTATGGGCTCTCCTTTGGGTCCTGCTTTGGCTAACATTTTTGTCGGCTTTTATGAGTCGTCCCTCCTCTCTAAAGATAATGCACCGTCTATGTATCAACGATATGTGGATGATACATTTTGTCTTTTTAACAGTGAAATGGAAGCCGATTCTTTCCTTACAATTATGAATCAACTTCATCCGTCCCTAAAATTCACTATTGAAAAGGAGTCCAACTCGTGTCTCTCTTTCCTTGATGTACTTGTACATCGGACCCCTTCTCAATTTGTGACATCAGTGTTTCGGAAACCGACGTTTTCAGGACTCTATACGCGGTGGGACTCATTTTGTCCTAAGAAACGCAAAATAAATCTGATCAGGACCCTGACCCATAGGGCCTTGATGATTTGCAGTGATGAGTTTTTGGATGAAGAATTTAATTTTATCCGCCATATTCTTTCACGTAATGGATATCCTAATGATATTCTTGATATGGTTATGCGGGATAAAATCAATAATTTCCGTAAGGAAAAACAATACAGTGTACAGAAGTGCCCTGTTTATCTACGGCTACCATTTATTGGGTCTCAAGGTGAGCTGTTGGCTAAGCGTATCTCGTCAGCCGTCCATGACTGTTTTTTCTCAGCTCAATTAATTGTTCATTTTGCGACTAGGTCTGCCTTTCCCTCTATGCGCAAGGATACTCTTCCCCCCCATCATGTTTCTTCTGTGATTTATTTTTTTAAATGTGGTTGCGGTAGCAATTACATAGGAAGGACTTCCCAGCGTCTAGATTGTAGGATCAGGCAGCATGTCCCATTACGAGTTCTCAATCCGGAAGCTAATAGAAGTCAGTTGGTTAACACTTCCGGTTCAGCGATTACGGAGCACCTAATAAATAGTAGGAATTGTGCGAAGAACTTTAGTCCGAATTGGTTCACTGTTCTGTCTAGTTCGCACTCTCTATTCCATTTGAAGGCACTGGAGTCTCTATATATTCGGTCTAGGGAGCCATCTTTGTGTAAGCAAAAAGACTGTCTCCTTGGACTTCATATCATTATCCTCTAGTGTGCTTCAAATTTTCCCCTCACACTCTGTTATATACACATATATAATTATTTTATTAGAATTTTTTTTTTTTTCTTTTTTTTTTTTTCTTCCTTCTCTTGTTTATTGTGTATTTTTGCACAGTTTAAAAAACATAAAAGAAGGGAAAAAGAAGGAAAGAAGGAAAGTATATATATATATATATATATATATGGTTAAATATTATCGACAAATTCTGTCTATGCAATTTTTTAATAAATATTTCAAATTTGCGCATGAGTGGTTTTATGTTATGTTCATATTTATACATGCGTAAATATTCAGAGAACAAACATTTGAAAAGGGATGGAGCAACATTCGAAAGTATTCGAAAAAATAATGTAAAATAAAAATAAATATTAACTTTTGCAAATTTACTGACAACACAAAATAACTAATTCGGGAATCTGAAAAATTTAATAAAAAAATTGATATGTCATTCTAAAATTAAATAGCGGTTTCACTTTGTCATGTAAATTAATCGTAAATTGATCTCCCAACTACGGAAGCCCAAAAGCGATGTACATGCCACTTGATTTCGGAGGTTTTTTTTTCATACATTACTATCAATTGAACAACGCAGATTAGAAATTTCACTTTTATCCAATTGAAAATTTTTACGAAATCACTTGTCGTATCAGCATATTTGTTTATGGCATCCGTTGGGGAGATAAATTTACGATTAATTTACATGACAAACTGAAACCGCAATTAACTTATATATATATATATATATATATATATATATATATATATATATATATATAATGAGAAAGAACAGTAAGATTTATAATCCGGTGCTCTTATTAATTATTTTTATTTTTAAACAACCGCGCTCAATACAATTAAGCAGAGCCTAAACATTATATATATATATTTATATTTGTTTATTGGTTTTGTTTACCGATGTATCAACTTCTATAGGTTATTCAATGGGGAAATCCAAATATTTTATGCATAATTTTAGGCTTTCAACTACATGTATTTTGTACATCCTTTCAAGGTAAATTTATGTTTATTTAGATATATTGTTTTTAGTTCATAAAATGTATTGTTAGTAACTTTAATATAAAAATGTATTGATATATTTTTTACTCTTGAATATATTGTCATTTTGTTATAAAAATGTATGAGGCTATCATATTTGTATTATCAATGAGTATGTTGTGCATGGAGTTTGACAGGTCTCCATGTGTATTAAAATGAGACCGATTAAAGCTATGGTCAGAGAAATATAACGTGAGTCATCTTGTTACGCATATTGTAGTATATCCAATATAATTATTTACAAATTTAGACAGGTCAGGAACAAACTTCCTTAAGGGACATGTAAATTATTAAATAATATTAGTTTCTTGTTATTTACATCTTGCAGATGAGTTAATGTTATCAATGAGGTTAGCAGTTTTAAATTTTTTTTATTATTATAGATAATTTAATTTTCTTGTTTTTATTGACTGGAGTTGTATATTTCTTGATAGTGTTTCTACGGAAAAGATTTGTTTTGCCAATACAATATATATATATATATATATATATATATATATATATATATATATATATATATATATATATATGTATATAATTTTTTTTTTAAATTTATAACATAAATATGTTATAAAAATTGAAGGCATTCAACATCATCACTTGATAAGACACCAGAGGTGTTGAAACAAAATGGCTATTTTTGTAGTGATTTTATAACATATTTATGTTATTTTTTTTTTTTTGAATAATTATATCTGCTCTACTTTGTATTGAGCACTCTTTTAAGAATAGTAATTGTTGGTTATTGGAATTCATTCCGTATACACCAATTATATACTTGTATATATATATATATATATATATATATATATATATATAGAGAGAGAGAGAGAAGAGAGAGAGAGAGAGACATGTTTCGTTGAATAATTTACATATGTTCTGTTTATTTATTTTCAGTAGGATCCTTTCATATTCGCGGATAAGTTTTTGGTCCCGTTATTGAAGGACGAGAGAAAAATGCCGTATTGATATATCTTCTTTTATTTCCAAGTACTTTCGACATAGTAAGGTTACCATCAGGCTATTGTTTATTACAAGATACATATTGTAGTGTTCATTATTGTCAAAGTCAAAATTGTTGTGTTCATCTAAATGTTAACTTTCATACGAGTGAAGTGAGGAACGCTGAGTCAGCGTGTGGCCCGCTAAAACCGTTTAAGAAGAGGTAACTAAGTATGATATTGAGAATGTTTTTTTGAAAAATTTGTGGTAACAAAACTATTAGTGCAAACATTTGCATTTCAAACTATCTATTATACACGTTTTAAAAACATTTGTGCAGTATTCATAATTTTATTAAGGTTTGGTTTCACTTTCTTAATATATAGATGGCTTCAAAAAATTTTAGTTTCTTTTTGTGAAGAAGGATAAAGATATTTTCAACAAGGTTTTTTTTTCTGAATTGCGAATGTGGACAAGTATGTTTCTGTATATGTTTAGAAATGTCGGGCATATTCAAACGAAAATTTATTTATATTTGATCAGGATTGCTTAATCTATAAATATATGGAAAGAAAATTGACAGAGGTTCTTTCTTGGCACAATGCCTATTATCCAAATTTCATCTTTCATCCTCATGAACTTTCTGGGTAGAGAATATGTCTCTGTGTGCTGAAGTTTAAACTGAGATAAAATAACCGTGTTAAAGTCCAGAGGATTTGTTAAGAAGCTGATAACGCCATAACGGTTCCAGAACTTTCACATTAGACATGAAAATTGACAGATTCTTTCTTGGCATATCCTACTATACAAAATTCAGCTTTCATTCTTGAGAACTTTCTGGGTAGAGAATATTTGTCTGCTTGTTGAAGTTTAAACTCAGATAAAATAACCGTGTTAACTTCCAGTGAAGGATTTTTTAAGAAGCTGATAATGCCATAGTGGTTCCAAATCTTTCACATTAGACATGAAAATATTTAAAATGACTCACAAATGTCATCAATGATAGCCAATTGAAAAAAGCAACCTGCAGAGGATAACGCTAAAACAATTCGACTTTATTCAACAAACCTTGGCGTTTCTCCTATGATTCTGGTCGTTTGACCGCGAAAAAAAAAAACTGAAAAAACATGGAAAATTGGTTTCTTGAATTCTTTTTTTTCCTGCAGTTTTTTTTCAAAATTGTAGATTTTTTTTTTGTCTCCAATCTGTTCTGATTCTTTTCTTTTCGTAGCTTTGATCTGTCACCCTGAATCTCTCTTCAATCTGTTGTGAGAAGTCTTCCAGTCATGTGACAATTGAGTCAACACAGTCAATACTGATGAGTTTTTTTTTCCTCTCTTTTTGTTTTGTTGCCTCGCCATGATAGCCAAATTGAACTGCTGTTTTGTGTCAAATAGGTTACTGATCGATTTCTCTGAAGACAACTTCGAGAAATACAAACTAAATCGATAAATTAGCCATGGACAAAAAAAAAAAAACTTTTTGAAGCCGTGGATATAATGCGTCATATATCACCATTGGAACGACAATGAAAACATACTCTATAGAAAAAAGAATTATTCTTTATATCGACAGAAAAATCATTTTTAATTCCAAATCACAGGGACATTGATAGGATAACATAATTTGAAATCCGAGGATTATTGATAAGAAAGGTTTCTTAATTTCACATCAGGTTACTATATTGAAGAGTATGTGAACAAGGGCGGAGGATATCTATCTATCTATCTATCTATCTATATATATATATATATATATATATATATATATATATATATATATATATATATATATCAGTCTGTTCATATCTATTTCAGTTTGCATAACTATCTATCGATCTGTCTATTTATCTATCTATTTCAGTTAATATCTATCGATCTATTTCAGTCTGTTTATATTTATCTATCTATTTCAATCTGTACATATATATATATATATATATATATATATATATATATATATATATATCTATCTATCGATTTCAGTCTGTTCATATCTATCTATCTCTCTGTCTTTCTATCGATTTCAGTCTGTTCATATCTATCTCCTCTGTTCTATCTATCTATCTATCTTCTATCTATTCATCTATCTATCTCAATCTGTTCATATCTATCTATCTATCTATCTATCTATCTATCTATCTATCTATCTATCAGTATCCCGCCATCTTCACTCTGAACAGATGCCACGACAAGAAGAGAGAAATCTCCAGCGTTACCTTTCTATTCATCTTGTCATATTTTCCTTTCGTAAGGCCACTTCGACATGTCTTGATGTTTAGAAGCTTATCTCTAGATCAATCACTACCAAATAATGAGTTCGATCCATAATATCGGTTCTGTGCCACATCGGAGCTACGCCTAGAAAAGTCAACATATTTTCGCTTCCCAGAACATTAACGCTGCAATGAAGTGTCACGTACACTGGCAATAGATTTCTAATTCTTGGACTTAAAATTTCCGGGTCTTCTCATGACCAATTTGAAAAGTTTTCAAAATGTTTCATTACCATGTCTTTCGTAAAATTTCTCTTGGATTCCTTCTCAAAAACTTCCATTCTTCTTTAAGTTATATCAGTTCTTTCATCATTTTCTTTATTGAAAGCATTCCATTTAATGCTTTAACGCAGTGATTCTCAAAGTTTTTGAAGTCGGGATCCACTTGAAATCCTACCAATAATTGGAGGCGTACAATATACAAATTCCGGAAAAATATGTTATAATGAAGTCAAATATTGCATAAAAGAAATAAAGCAATAAAAAAAAAATATAAAATGAAACATACCTTAAGTTTATTCATTCTTGTGTTTATGGTGAATCTACTGGTGAGTCTTAATGATTTATTTAATATTTGTACGTATATTTGATAGGCAAAATGTCATTTCCTCCTCAATACATTGAAGAGTTCTCTTTTTGCACTTTTAATTGTAAGAGCAGAAAACCCTAATTTACATAAATATGATGTTGCAAACGGTAGTAAAATGGTCAGAACCTTTTTTAGATTTTGACATATATTCTTCATTTATAGAAATCCAAAAAGCTTCAAGATACAATTCATTATGTTTAGCCATCAACCCACGATCAGGGGATATTATAAAGTAACTAATTTATCACATTTGCTTATAAACAAATAAATTATAAATTATAAATGCTAGATTACTATGAAAGTATAAGAAAACTTAAATAAACAATCCTAATCCTTGCCATCATGTTATGTTACATAATAAATCTTTTAGTAATCAACTTTCTCGAATTAGGCCTGGAGGATCAACCAGCAACACCTACCAGTTCAATACAGCAAAACAAAAGTTTCCTATCATTGAAGTTTTCCTCGAGGGCTATGCACAGTATAATAAAGTAAACGTATTTCTTTCTTATATCTGGGCACATATTTCTCTGGAATGTCAGGGCGCACTTGGACATCCTCCAAGGGGCAACCTAGACATCTTCCATGGCGCACCTATACATTTTCCAGGGCGCACCTAGACATATTCCAGATCGCACTTAGACACCTTCTAAGGGGCATCTAGACATCTTCCAGGGCGCACCTAGACATCTTCCAATGGCCAAGACATTTTTCAAGGCGCACCTAGACATATTCTAGGGCGCAGCTAGACATCTTCCAGGGCGCACCTACACATCTTCCAAGGGGCACCTAGACATCTTCCAGGGCACACTTAGACATCTTCTAAGGGGCACCTAGACATCTTCTAGGGCGCACTTAGACATCTTGCAAGGGACACCAAGACATCTTCCAGGGGGCACCTAGACATCTTCCAGAGCGCACCTAGACATCTTCCAGGGCGCAACTAGACATCTTCCAAGGGGAACCTAGACATCTTCCAGAGCGCACCTAGACATCTTCCAGAGCGCACCTAGACATCTTCCAAGGGGCACCTAGACATCTTCCACGGCGCACATAGACATCTTCCAAGGGGCAATAACTGTATATATTACTCAATTAAGAATTATATTCTAAAAGCTTCCTTTAAAACTTGTCTAGACTAACGTTTAAATTATTTTTTTATATCAATAATACTAGCTTCACCATTCTGGATTTGATTGATTCGCTTTCTTTGGCTTAACAATCCTTTCATTAAGTAAATTAAGTTTCATATACGATATATGCTTGGGTGATCATGTCTCTTTGGATTCATGCCTAACTAGGTACTAGATTTTTCCCGCAGTGCATTGCCATTTTTTTCTGCGGTAGACTGGTTGCCAACCAAGGCTATAGAATCCAGACTCTCCTACTATTCAACTCATAGCTGAAGGGGAGAAGAAATAGATTCATATCTTTCCCAAAGGTATTTGCGCGTAAGTGGATGTAACGAACTAGACAGGAATTCGAACTCGGTCCTCTGTTTTCTCAGTTCGATCCGCGATACATTATACAAGAACGCATATCCTTTGCAGGTCGTTAAAGTCAGAAAATATTTTTTTAAATTACAAGACATTTTTTTCTTTTCTTGCAGATAATAATGGTGTAGGGACACAAGTCTTACTAATTAACCCATAGATGAGAGGTGGAAGAGGTGGCTTCATAGCTTTCCCAAGAGTATTTTTAAGAGAATATATCGAAGCCAACTGAAACAGGAACTCGGTTCTCCCATGAACAGTTCCGGGTCATAATCCATTACACCAACCGCACATACAAGCTTACAGCAGCTGGTATTTCCAAGCTCTCTACCATGTCGGTACTGTCCAGGCTCGACGTTGCTTAACTTCGGTGATCGTATGGGAACCGATGTAAAAACGTGATATGTCCCGGAAAGGGATATATTTGTTCGAAATAGCAAGTGGTTTTGGACTACTGTAACCGAGTAGAACAATCTAGCAGGTAACCGTAATGGACTGGTCCTCGTCGTAGAGGTAGGCAATAGGCATAGCCAAAAGGCGTAGGCCAATAGGCGTAGGCCAATAGGCGTCGTCCTGTATTTCCACATCAGTCTGTATTTATGACTGACACCAGCCAATCATATTACTGTGCGGGGGAACCCAGGTGTATGCATATTCATTACATCAAAACGTTATGTGGCCGTAAGTCTTCACGTTTATGGAAGAACAACTTGAATAATACTGTTAACTAAATAGATAAATCGTAATTGATTAAAATAGTGATGAAATCACCCCACAATATTTAAACACGTAAACCTCAATGAAGAATCAAATAACCAAAATTGAATTATTGCTATTACTTTACCATTAATTGTAATTAGGTTGAACAGAACTGCCTTTTAGAAAGCGGATCAAGCAGATGATAGACGACGTTATGTTATTTAAATTACTAGTGTCTATTCTTAGGTTTTCTTTGAACTCACCGTAATTACTAGCACTGGACGTGTGTTTATCAATTCCTTTTAGTCAGGGGTTTCCTTCCAGTCGTTGTCTTTATCTTGGACCGTGTAGCGGTAAACGATAATCGAAGCGTAATGGTTTTACAAATTAAATTTAATATCTTTTTTAATTTTTTTTTTCTTTTTTAAATTAAGGTTTTCCATTCAAATTTGCTTTCATTTTCATTAATTTGTTTTAAATTACAGCTAAATATGGATATCTTGCTTCGTGATGAACTTGATTAGATTGCTAAATAATCTTTCTGTTTCTTGCTATTTAATATTACCTCTTCTTTGTTGATCTCCAATGCAAATCGTTCGATTTTCCAACTTTCTATTTCCTAGTTTTGCTCTCCTTTACCAACGATGCAGACGCCAAAATCTAATCAATCAGAAATATCCTGCTTATATGAGAGTGTTTTAAAAAGTCATAAAACATGGCGGATAGCAGGCAGCAATGGAAAAAGCATTAGAAAACCTTACTCCCGGGCATTACGGATTTACTTCGGGCCCCAATACCCTAAAAAAAAAAATCTAATTCACCTCACCCATCTAGTCTCTTTATTTTCTTTTAGAAATTGTTTTAACGACAGCCAAGCCAGGCAGACACAAAAAAAAAGAAATAAAAGGAATATTGGCAAATATGGCTCTGTACATTTTTTTCCATTTTTTTCACTAACCTAGACGAATTCCATTGTGTAGCTCTTAAAAATTCCATTGCATTAAGTAAAGAAGACGAAAATGGCAACTCATACACACACTGATACATACATATATATGCGCATACACGGGCCGAGAGCTTTTCAGCACCAGTGGCGTGTATATATATATATATATATATATATATATATATATATATATATATATATATATATATATTCCTGTGCGTATACACTCTCTCAATATATAAACATATATATATATATATATATATATATATATATATATATATATATATATTTGTGTTTATGTATATATATATATATGTGTGTGTGTGTGTTTATGTATCTGTGTGTGTGTATTATACATGTATATAAAAATGTATAGATTATATATAGATGCACACACGTAAAATGTGTTTATGTATCTCTTCGCGCGAGTGAATATATATATGTGTGTGTGTGTGTGTGTGTGTGTCTGTGTCTGTGTGTATGTGCGTGTATTAAAGCATGTATATATTTACGTATACAAAGCATATATTTGTATACATTAGCCCACAAAATATCTGTGTTTGTATAGAAATATTTATATCATCTCACCCTCTCTATATCTTTCATATATATGTCGATGAATATATATACTAATCCATCACACGTACATAATACAAGTAATAACAGAATGGCGTCAATGTTAGATAAGTATTTAATTACCGAAAGCAATTAAAATACATTAACAAAAAAGAAGCAAAATATCAATGGAAAGATTACTGATTACTTATTAGTTAATACGTCACTGCGTAGAGCTGATAAAGAAAAAAAAATTCGTCTTGAAACACGGGACATTCGACTTTAACTTCCGGGTTAGCACAATAGTCAACACGTAATTTAAAAGTCAGTGGCATGATATCTCTATTTATAATAAATGACGGTCTACATTTTCAGTGTCTAAAGATACACGTTCAAACTCCGGTGTCAGCAATGACACATTTCATTCATATATGACAATATATATATTCTAATAGTAATGGATATGTAATATATTAAGCTGACAGATTTATATATATATATATATATATATATATATATATATATATATATATATATATTATATTTATTTAAAAATATGATTCCAACTCGCGACATAAGAGGTCTCATGTTTCAAAACAAGAGCCGAAAACTTCAATATAATTATTTGAATTAAATTGAGTAAAATTAAGCTCTGTTCCATTTTCAAGCGAAATTTTTTTTGGAATAACATATTTCTGAAATTTACGTGTTTTAATAATTGAAATCGAAATTTCCATGGTAACAGCTAGGGCGGATTGTTTAAATTGGGTAGGCTTGTGTTGGGTGTTAATTATAAGTATAAGTTAGAGTTATTTTCATAGATGTCAAGTCAGGGAAAGGTGGGGGTGTCTAAATTTGAAACGGTAGATGTATTAACCCTAGTCTGGTATGCGTGCCTATGGAGATTTTTTTTTTTTATTTTATTTTATTTTTTTATATGAAAGGGATTTGTGCATATAAAAAACTGCCGTAACGTTTGTTTTTTGACGACTTCAGAAAGGGTTATCTTTTTTGTAGGGTATTTAAACTATTTATTTGGGCTATGGATTATGAAAGTTGTTATATTGTATGTTTGTTTTTAACTAATTATTCAAACCAAGAATCTGATGATGTCGACAAAAAACCGTTAACTCATGTCTATTGTTTAATGGATTATTATTATTTAGAAGCTTAATAATTATATTGAAGTTTTCGGCTCCTGTTTTGAAACATGAGACCTCTTATGTCGCGAGTTGGAATCATATTTTTAAATAAATAATTATATTTATGCTCTACTCTTGTATAGAGTAAAAATAACTTTGGATTATTTACCTAACCAGTTCCTTCCTATTTTCTATATATTTTCACATATTATATATATATATGTGTGTGTGTGTGTGTGTGTGTGTGTGTGTGTGTGTCTGTATCTGTGTCTGTGTGTGTGTGTGTGATTCGTGTTACAGGTTTCTGCTGTTCTTGAAACCTTACCTTACGGTGGGGGCGGCCTGTCTCCGCTTTATGTTCCTTTCCGTAGCTACACGGGATAGCGTACACACAGTCTTTAGTCATGTTCCCCTCTATGGTGGGGAGTCTTATTCGGGAGAGATATCTGTGTCGTCTAGCTTTTGAAGCTTGTCCTGATGTTATATGGACCGCAGATCCTTTGTATTTTCTCTGATAACCCCTTCACATAATGCACGCAGCCTGTTTTCTGAGTGCTGTCCTCCTTCTCTTGTACCCGCCTATCTCAATTTATGAAGCTATTGCCATGTACCCATGTATGATTCTATAGAGGGCGGTGATCTTCCTTTTCTGTCCATATGTGGTCAGCCACGCCTGATTTTTCCACTTCTCCCCGTGTTACAGCTTTCTGGTGTTCTTGAAGCCTTACCTTGAGAGGGCGGCCTGTCTACCCTTTATATTTCTTTCCGCAGCTGCACGGGATAGCGTACACACAGTCTTTAGTCATTTTCTCCACTATGTAGTGGTGGGGGGGACTCGGGAGAGATATCTGCGAAGTGTCGTCCAGCTTTTGAAGGTTGTCCTGATGTTATATGGACCGCAGATACTTTGTATTTTCTCTGATAACCCCTTCACATAAGTCTATCCCAGTGAGCGAAATAAAGGGTTCAGTTCGACATTCCAGCCACGTGTAGAAAGCCGGAGCGGACAACGGCCAAAACGTTGTAATAAATATGGCGACAAAGATGAGGACAATAGTCCGAATAATGTAAATAGTGCACACAATGCCTCATTTCAGAAATATAGACTGATACTGAAGGATCGGTACGGAACCAATACACCAAAAATATGGAGACAAATTGAAAAATCCTACCAGAAACTGGCACGAATATCGAACCATCTGACATTACTACACCGATCGAGAGACCTACAACTCATCCCTTCAGACTTGGTATCAAGAATTCCCGTCTATTCAAGAACCCGTCTGGTCACAGAAAAAGTGGGACACGCCCCTGTCTGAGAGAGAATCCAGTACAATCGTTGGATAAAACAGAGACTACAAGCTCATATCTCCCAGACGCTCGAGGATTTCTTCAACAGACTTACTAATGACGAAGACTAGAGAAGGATCAAAAATGACCTGGATAAATCCTTCAGACATGAATTCGATCTAGTCAAGGCCCTCCAAGTACAAAAATTAAATAGATTGAAAGATCAGAAGGTGACGCACAAGGTCCATCACTCACCAGTGAAAGCAGTAATCAACATCAGCCAATATCAGCTGAGTGCCTGTGAGGAGACAGTATTGAATAAGGGTCTCAACTTCGCCACAACCATCAGGCGAGTGCCATACTTGGACATCAGAGTCGATGAGGTGTCCTCAAACTTCCTTCAGACTCAGATGGATGAACTGAGGTGGAAGGTGAGACAGACCTTGGAGAACGCCAAACCATCTAGGTCAAACATCACGAAAGGGTGGCGATTGGATCCCTACAGAGGAACGAAAACATCCTCATACTACCGGCTGACAAAGGCAATGCGACTGTAGTGATGGACAAATCAAATTAAACAAGAAAGCTGGAAGACCTCATTAGCAATGGTAGCTACAGCAAAGTAAAAATGGATCCTACAATGAAAACAGAACGCAAACTGTCACAGATCCTAATCAAGAACAAGGATCACTTCGCACCTAAGACGTATAGGCAGTCATCGTAGCGTTAAACAAAGTTACCTCACATATACGGTCTCCCTAAGTTTCACAA